CGGATCCATTGTCGGAAGGTTGTCGGCCAATCAGTGAGTTCCGTCATTCAGCTTCCGTCACTGTTTGGGGGGCAATGCGTTAGGACGAATGTCACGATACAGCATGTGTTAAGGCGAGACGGAGAGCACTTCTGTAGCTATCACCGGTGTGACATGGACCCTCAGGAAAGGGGGGGCCTGGCGGCCTGAAGCATGGGTGGTTTCTAGTACCCCCATATGGGCCCCGCCATTGGGCAGCGTCGGGGCTTGAGTCAGGTTGCCATTCCAATGGGCTGGACAAGCACCTTGGAAATCCCAACACTGCTGCCGCCAGGGGATCGGCTCGCACCTACACACCCTCCTTCACCCTCCTTACTTCCGACTCACCAGATAGAGTCTGGGAATCGGAGTAGGGACTTTTTTCGGATGGGCCCCCTGCAGCAGGAAGGAAGGCTTGGCGCGTTTTGAGTCCAAGCCTTGGTGTTACGGCCTTCTGACTAAGCGCCATAGCTTGAAACGCGTCAAGGTCTTCTTGCTGCTGTAGGACGGTCGTATGAATGAAGTTCCCCGTCGCTCTACTCCAGCGTCTCTCCACCTTTCTTGATCCCTAAGGCACGGTTATGTCCTCCACTCAGGCTTTGACCTGGGCCCCGTGTTGGGATATTTGGTGGCTCTTGAGACCGGCGTGCCCAGGGAATCGCTCCCCGCAGTCACCGCAGACAAAAAGGACCTCCTCCACGTGGACCTTCTGATGGATGATCAGGTAGGACTTGCGGGTGTAGCGTTTGCCGCACTCCTGGCACTCGAACGGCCGCTCTCCCGTGTGTATCCGCTTGTGGAGCACCAGCTGGAGCTTACGGGTGAACCCCCTCCCGCACTCCACGCACACGAAGGGCTTCTCCGCGAGGTGGGTCTTCTGGTGGCTGGCGAAGGTGAGCCGGTTGCTCAAGCTTTTCCCACACTGGTTGCAGATGTAAATGGTGCTCTCCGTGTGGAGCTTGTGGTGGGTCACCAGGTTGGAGTTGCTGCTGAAGCTTTTGCCGCACTGGTTGCAGCTGTAAGGCCTCTCCCCGGTGTGAGTCCTCTGGTGAATGACGAAGTGGGAGCGGTCGCTGAAGCACTTCCCGCACTCCTGGCAGGAGTACGGCTTCTGCCCCGTGTGTATCCTCTGGTGCAACACCAGGTGGGAGCTTTGGATGAAGTTCTTCCCGCAGTCTATGCATGCGTAGGGCCTCTCCCCGCTGTGGATCCTTTGGTGGGTAGCCAAAGTCGAACTCCGAGTGAAGCACTTGCCGCAGTCGGGGCACGCGTACGGTTTCTCCCCCGTGTGGGTCCTCTGATGTGTGGCGAGCGTGGAGCTGTGCGTAAAGCTTTTGCCGCAGTCCAGGCACACGTACTGCCTGTGACCCGACCAGGCTCGGTACTTTATCCTCCGGCCAGCTCTGTTGGCGCCATAGTTGTACCTTGAGGGCAAGACGTTGTCTGTCATATAGGTTCCAGTTTCTGCATCGGTGTCACCAGTATGAGTGGATACCAACCTTTCCCCCTGCTCTTGTAATGGGGAAATGGGGCCTTCCTTCTGTGGCTGATTGTGGCCCTTCAAGGCACCCAGTATAGACGTTCCCCAGTCGCCGGTACCGAGCCCGTGTTTATTAGCAGGATAACACCAAGACGCATCCTCCTCCATAATCTGGAATGATCTGGATTGCTCATGGAGTGTTCTGTCTTGCTTGTCCAACCTACAAGAAGACATATTATTGTTAATATTTTATCAAGACCTTATGAAAGTTAAAGTGTAGGTAAAGCCGAGACTTTTTGTGGTTTTGGATGGAGTAGGGGGTGGTTAAGACTGGCAAAATGTGATGGGAACCATCGGTGGGACCTTCATAGCATGGAGCCCTATGGTATAATGTGATGGGAACCATCGGTGGCTCCTTCATGGCATGGAGCCCTATGGTAAAATGTGATGGGAACCATCGGTGTAACCTTGATAGCATGGAGCCCTATGGTAAAATGTGATGGGAACCATCGGTGGCACCTTCAAAGCATGGAGCCCTATGGTAAAATGTGATGGGAAACATTGGTGGCACCCTCATGGCATGGAGCCCTATGGTAAAATGTGATGGGAACCATCGGTGTAACCTTGATAGCATGGAGCCCTATGGTAAAATGTGATGGGAACCATCGGTGTAACCTTGATAGCATGGAGCCCTATGGTAAAATGTGATGGGAACCATCGGTGTAACCTTGATAGCATGGAGCCCTATGGTAAAATGTGATCGGAACCATCAGCGGCACCTTCATGGCATGGAGGCCTATGGCACAATGTGATGGGAACCATAGGTAGCACCTTCAAAGCATGGAGCCCTATGGTAAAATGTGATGGGAACCATCAGCGGCACCTTCCTGGCATGGAGCCCTATGGTAAAATGTGATGGGAAACTTCGGTGGCACCTTCATAGTATGGAGCCCTATGGCAAAATGTGATGGAGCCCATTGGTGGCACCTCCATAACATGGGGCCCCATGGCAAAATGTGATGGGAAACTTCGGTGGCACCTTCATAGCATGGAGGCCCTATGACAAAATGTGATGGAGCCCATTGGTTGCACCTTCATGGCATGGAGCCCTATGGCAAAATGTGATAGGAACCATCGGTGGCACCTTCATAGCATGGAGCCCTATGACAAAATGTGATGGAGACCATTGGTTGCACCTCCATAGCATGGGGCCCTATGGAAAAATGTGATGGGGACCATCGGTGCCACCTGACAACACCAGAGCTGTCAGCCTAGTCAGTACTAAGGATGAGCTCAGGTTCGGACAGAACCTGGTCACGGAACACGGAAGCTACATGAGCCTCCTGCCCAATCAGCTGCAGGTTGGGGCATTCTGCACCCCGCAGCTGACCATAAACAGGGCCGGATGCTTGTGCCGACGTAATTTACCTAATAGGACCCCATAGCCATATTGGGTAGATGTCATTTCCCAAATATAGGCATTGTAGCCATATAAGGTCAATGACGTTACTGCATCCCACCCCTTTGGTTATGTCCCTGCCCGCAGCTGATTGAGTGGCACTCATGGAGCTTCCTACTGTGTTCCGGATGAGCTCTTCTTGGGTTCAGAGGAGCTCAAGTTCGGACCAGGATCAGTCCGAAGCTGAGCTCATCCCTAGTTAACACCCCCTTTTTTTTGCTGTTTGTGTTCCATTTGCAAGATTTCCCTTTACTTCCTCTTCTAGAGACACAGCAGGGCGTAAGAGGAGAGCTCTTCAAGGGGATATCCCCTCTTAGACAGTTTTAGTAGTTTCCCCATTAGAAGATTTCCTGTCTCTTCCTGTTCCTGTGACAACTTAAAAATATTGGATTAGCTAAGGCATCCAAAGAGAAGATGGCCACCAGGACGGCTAGAGAAGGTGTTTACCATAAGACCGTAGATGGTGAACTCCCCCAAGATCTCCTGAAACTATGGCAACGTGTCATATGAAAGACATGGCGCCAGACCTTGCTCATGCTTAGATGGAGATCTGGCGCCATTTATTTCACATTACATGTTAGCAAAGTATCAGAAGATCTCCACCTCCAACAACTTGGAATACATGTCAAGCATCCCAGAAGCCTGTGGGGCCATAGATCCCGAGCTCCCCTGAGATCTCCGGACACTATGGCAACGTGTCATATGAAAGACATGGCTCCAGATCTTGAGCATGCTTAGATGGAGATCTGCGCCATTTATTTCGCATTACATGTTAGCAAAGTATCAGAAGATCTCCACCTCCAACAACTTGGAATACATGTCAAGCATCCCAGAAGCCTGTGGGGCCATAGATCCCGAGCTCCCCTGAGATCTCCGGACACTATGGCAACGTGTCATATGAAAGACATGGCGCCAGACCTTGCGCATGCTCAGATAAGGATCTGGCGCCATGTCTTTCACATGACATACTGTTATAATGTTGGAAGATCTCCACCCCCAGCCTCCTGGGAAACACGTTGCATATCCCAGGAGGCTGCGCGGCCAATGATGCAGAGCCAAACTCTCATGAGATCTCCCGACACCATGGCAACGTGTCATGTGAAAGACATGGCCCCAGATCATATGCATGCTCAGATGAAGATCCGGCGCCACGTCTTTTACATTAGATATTGCTATAGTGTTGATGGATCTCCACCGTCAGCCTCCTGGAAAACATGTCACATCCCAGAAGATTGCGAGGCCATAGATGCAGAGCTCTCCCGAGATCTCCAAACACTATGGGAGATCTCAGGAGACATGGCGCCAGATGTCGCGCATGCTCAGATGAAGATCTGGCTCCGTGTCTATCACACACATGTTGCTATAGTGTTGGGAGATCTCCACCCTCAGCCTCCTGGAATACACATAACATGTTCCAGAAAGTTTGCAGGGCCATAGGTGCCACATTCTCACCAGATCTCCTGACATGGCATGGCAACATGTCACGTGAACGACATGGCGACAGATCGCGCGCATGCTCAGATGGAGATCTGGCGCCATGTCTTTCACATGACATGTCGCCATCGTTTTAAAAGAGCTCCACCCCCAGCCTTTTGGAATACATGTCACTTATCCCAGAAGGCTGCGGGCCGTAGGTGTCAAACTCTCGCGAGATCTCCTGTCACTATGGCAACGGTTCATGTGAAAGACATGGCGCCAGATCCCGCGCATGCTCAGATGGAGATCTGGCGCCATGTCTTTCACATGACATGTCGCCATCGTTTTAAAAGAGCTCCACCCCCAGCCTTTTGGAATACATGTCACTTATCCCTGAAGGCTGCGGGCCGTAGGTGTCAAACTCTCGCGAGAGCTCCTGTCACTATGGCAACGTGTCATGTGAAAGACATGGCGCCAGATCTCACGCATGCTCCAATGGAGACCTGGTGCCATTTTTGTAAATTACATGTTGCCCCACCAAAAGAGACTACGAGCAGTCATGGTGACGCACATTACACAGACACGGTCCACCGTTGTCACCCTCAGGAAACCTGCCATGGGAAATGCCGTGCAGCCGTCACTGGATTGCATGTAGACAGGAAGTGGCTGCAGGAAATCAGCAGTACTGATATGCAAAAACAAAAAAGCTAAAAACTAGTATTTTATTAGCCAAAAATAAGATTTAAAAAAAAAAGAATAGCCGACCAAAAGATAAAAACGTAATTTGCTGCAACATTCGCCTCCAATCCAAAAACTCCCCCCGCAGTACTTTATTCTGCCACTAGATGTCCTCAGTCTGATGACCAGCAACATTCAACTGCCTTCCTCTGGGCCCAAGTCATCCTGATACCCACCCCCACCCCCAGCCTGTGACTGGATAAGAGAAGTAGCACAAGCATGCGCTCATCTCTGTCACTCTGCTCTCTCCTCCTGTGTCAGAACATGAAGCGCTTCTTCTCACACGCAGATCATTCACTGTTTACATCTACATTGATCTGCAGCTATGAAACCAGTATAAAACGTACGAGGGAGGAACTAGGCGCAGTGGTGGCGAACCTTGGCACTCCAGCTGTTTTGGAACTACAAGTCCCATGAGGCATTGCAAGGCTCTGACAGCCACAGACATAACTCCCAGAGGCAGATGCAAGTTGGGATTTGTAGTTTTGGCACAGCTGGAGTGCCAAGGTGCGCCACCACTGAGGGAAACGCTCGATAGAATCCAGATGTATGACGTTCCGGAGCAGATGTAAAACATACATGTAATATGGCAGCATGTATGTAAAAAGAAAAAAAAAACATACATGTATCTGTGTTATCTCTGTTAAAGAAATGATAAGGAGGATGGGGGTGATTGTAGTGAGGATGATGATTCCCGGGATACCACACATACAGATATATTGCTCATCCATCCATCCCCGGCTCTCTTCCTACCTGCCGCAGACGGGCCTTTTGTGTGCTCTGAGTGGAGGCAGGCGGCCTCTGACAGCCCCGGTGACCCCCCCCCGAGGCGTGTGTGTATTTGTAGTTGGGGTTCAATCCGCGTCCTTTTATCCAACGCTTATCAAACTACATCTTCCAGAATGCAGCAGCGCTCGGGAGGAGCCAGAGAGCTCCACGGCTCAAAGCCAGGTTAACCCCTCACCGGTGCATTTTCATACCCGGCGTTGTCCGTGATGCAATCGGATACCGTGACACACACACACACACACACATGAGACGTGTTCACAAAGGAGGTTCGTCAGCCCGGCCTCAACCTTTCTACCACGGAGGAACCCTTCAAATAGGAACCCCCTGAGGATCATTGCTTTGTCTACAGATGGTGGTGGACAGGAAGTGGAGACGTACGAATGGATGAAAGAAGGAGGAATGGGGGGGTACTCAGTGTGTTCGGGGGGTTATCAATAATAATGGGGCTGCAGCTATTGATTGGTAATCGATTAGCTGGCCGATTATTTTTTCGATTATTCGGATAATTTAAAAAAAAAAAAAACAGCGTTTCAAATGAAATACATAAAAGTTCACGTCGGGATAAAGCCACATGCGCAATTTTTTTTGCTGTCGCACGGCACTGGAACGCAGGGCATTGCGGTACCAAGGTGATCGCGTTGCGGGCGGGAGGCGTGTTTCGGGTGCCACTGCACATGCTACGCACGTCCCGCAGCGGGATTCGTCGGGGGAAATCATTTTAGAGGAAGCCATGAATATTGACCTGAGAATGATTGCTCTCACTCTGGCGCACATGGCGCGTAATGACTCGCCACCCGGCTTCCCGATTCGCATGGAAGCCGGCTTTCTGGCCAGTCAGGAAGCTGGGCACTGTGTATTGCCTCGGCTTCCTGATTGGTGGAAGCTGGCCAATCAGGAAGCAACGCGCAACTAGTCATCACACGGCGCCCGGCTTCTTGATTGGCCGGGAAGCCGGCTCCATGCTCCCTCAGAGCCAGGCTTTCCGGCCAATCAGAAAGCCCTCCAGCTTCCTGATTATTTCAAATAAAAGCTAGTCGTCGAGTCATTACACGCTACCCGGCTTCCTGATTGGCCGATAAGCCGGCTCCATGCTCCCTCATCACCAATCAGGAAGCCGGGCGCCGTGTAATGACTCATTGCCCATTGCTTCCTGATTGGTCAGCTTCAACCAATCAGGAAGCCAGGCAACAGTGTAGTGTCCTCTTATATGGAGGTCAGTGTAGTGCCCTCTTATATTGGAGGTCAGTGTAGTGCCCTCTTATACTGGAGGTCAGGGTAGTGCCCTCTTATATGGAGGTCAGTGTAGTGCCCTCTTATATTGGCTGTCACCGTGGTCACATGATCAGGAGCCCACCCTGCCGCCTCCTGTTTACCATGACCAGGAACTATCTGTGGCAGCTCCGTCGGTGAGCACGCTCTCGGCACACAACAACGGTCCCCATGTCCTATTAGATAAAAAGATAGTGCTCCGTCCTTCAAAATCTTCAATAAAACTTTATTCATAAAATACTTACAATGGCACTCAGCACATCACCCATCCTTGTGTGGATATCCTCAGATCTCTGCTTGAGGATGCCCAGCTATAGGTCTCGCAGAGCATCCCTCTGTCACTGCCTCAGCTGTGCATAGTGCTAACACGTTTCGAGGGACAAGCCCCTCTTCCTCAGGGCTCTGGTCCCTGTAAACGTGTTAGCACTATGAGGCCAATGCGCTCTCTTTTTTTTAATCTTTCTGCATCATTTGAAGATGTTGCCAAGCCTGGGAAGAGCTGCAAGGTCAAGAACATGGCTACGTTCAGTCCTACTGGAGCATGCGAACCAACGTTGGCTGATGTTGTACCCTTCAGCACTTGAGCGGCGTGAGAAAATGTTTCACCCCATGACTCCTGCTTTGGCTGTAGAAGATCCATTTTCATCTGCAGTGGTGGAGTCTGGGGGTGGCACAGTGGTCTGGTGATCCTCACGGTTCCTCTGTGTATAGACAGGGCCGTATTTACTCTCTCTGCTGCCCCAAGGCCAGGTTACTTAATGCGTCCCCCTACCCGCCAACCCACCCCCACGGAGAATGGCAGACCTGCAGGCTGCATACAAGTGATCTCGGCAAAATCACTGAGATCACTTGTACAAAACAAGCGGTGGCTTCCCATCTGTACATTTAGCTCTGCTTGCCCAAAGCAGGGCTAAATGTAGAAAACTAACCGCCTGGCGCCCGGAACTGCATGTCCCGGACATCGGGAGATGGGAATTCCACATCCCTGCTGCCCCTCTACTCCCTGCTGCCCCAAGGCCAGGCCTTGGTTGGCCTTTGGGGTAAATCCGGTCCTGTGTATAGCTTATGTTGTATCCCTGTTTATTGGAAACACACCTCTGCAGTAGCTCGGCCACGTCTGTATTATTCTTGTACGGGCTGGAAATCCCCCGACAGTTTGACTTCCCCGTAGCACTTGCTGAATGTGGTTTGATGCAAATGCCAAGATCAGGAGTTGGTATCAAATGAACGGTACGGCTGGATTTCGAGTGCTCTGCCTGAGATGATGGGGGTACTAAAGGGTCCTGGTCGTGGGAAGGAAACCGAAAGTAGCGTCCACTCACGTAAGAGTGCGGGTCAGGAGTACTTCCCTAGTGTCAGGGATCTGGCAGGGCCCAGTTCCTCCTGATTTGAATGGGACTACCTGGTCGGGTTATGGGCTGGGAAGACATGAAGCCTGAGGTGATCAAGCGCCCCCTGGGAGTGGTGACCCAGGGGTGCCCGAGTAGCACTATAGGTTTGGGACCTCACTGTGTGGAAGGCATGTTGGCCACGATGCCACTTGTTTGATGCACATCACCTCTTCGGCTAGGCCTTTCGGCTAAGACCAGGGGTAATTTTTTATGCCAGGCCATAGTCCAGCACTTTGGCACTTATTTATTTTTCTCCACTCTTTGTGCACCTTCACCCTATTTGTGTGTTTTTTTCATTCCACAGGATGGAGGGTGTGGGTCTTCTTGCCTGCCCTGAAGTCTAGGGGTAGGATGTGTGGCCATTAGGTTCTTTCCTCCCCTGATCCGGGGGTCTCTCTTCAGGGGAGCCCCCAACCTAGTACTCGGTGGTGGGCTTCGGCTGGAGGGTGTGGGCCTTCAGGCCTGCCCTGAAGTCTAGGGGGAGGATGTGTGGCCATTAGGTTCTTTCCTCCCCTGATCCGGGGGTCTCTCTTCAGGGGAGCCCCCAACCTAGTACTCGGTGGTGGGCTTCGGCTGGAGGGTGTGGGCCTTCAGGCCTGCCCTGAAGTCTAGGGGGAGGATGTGTGGCCATTAGGTTCTTTCCTCCCCTGATCCGGGGGTCTCTCTTCAGGGGAGCCCCCAACCTAGTACTCGGTGGTGGGCTTCGGCTGGAGGGTGTGGGCCTTCAGGCCTGCCCTGAAGTCTAGGGGGAGGATGTGTGGCCATTAGGTTCTTTCCTCCCCTGATCCGGGGGTCTCTCTTCAGGGGAGCCCCCAACCTAGTACTCGGTGGTGGGCTTCGGCTGGAGGGTGTGGGCCTTCAGGCCTGCCCTGAAGTCTAGGGGGAGGATGTGTGGCCATTAGGTTCTTTCCTCCCCTGATCCGGGGGTCTCTCTTCAGGGGAGCCCCCAACCTAGTACTCGGTGGTGGGCTTCGGCTGGAGGGTGTGGGCCTTCAGGCCTGCCCTGAAGTCTAGGGGGAGGATGTGTGGCCATTAGGTTCTTTCCTCCCCTGATCCGGGGGTCTCTCTTCAGGGGAGCCCCCAACCTAGTACTCGGTGGTGGGCTTCGGCTGGAGGGTGTGGGCCTTCAGGCCTGCCCTGAAGTCTAGGGGGAGGATGTGTGGCCATTAGGTTCTTTCCTCCCCTGATCCGGGGGTCTCTCTTCAGGGGAGCCCCCAACCTAGTACTCGGTGGTGGGCTTCGGCTGGAGGGTGTGGGCCTTCAGGCCTGCCCTGAAGTCTAGGGGGAGGATGTGTGGCCATTAGGTTCTTTCCTCCCCTGATCCGGGGGTCTCTCTTCAGGGGAGCCCCCAACCTAGTACTCGGTGGTGGGCTTCGGCTGGAGGGTGTGGGCCTTCAGGCCTGCCCTGAAGTCTAGGGGGAGGATGTGTGGCCATTAGGTTCTTTCCTCCCCTGAACCGGGTGGTCTCTCTTCAGGAGAGTTCCTCAACCTAGTTCCTGGTGGTCGGCTTCAGCTGACCATGAGGAATGGGTCCGCCTGTTTTGGGCCAGGTGGACACAAGTGCCTTGCCCCTGTCGGAAGCCTTGTGCCCTGGGGGATGGACCATTTAAAGAAACCCTTGTGCACTTTTATATGGTAGCTTTTATATTGAAGTGATAATGGGTGTTGGGTGATAGTAGAGGTTTAATGGCTACGTTCTGGTTTAAAGAGACCCTGTCACTTTGCCCATTCAGAGCAAAGTGACAGGGTCTCTTTAAAGGCCGACATCCATCCACATCATACTCATCTTATAGTGTTGTTAAACCCAAGTGACAAAACATATATTCTCAGAGCCACACTTACTTTAATTCTTAAGATGGCCATACACCAGGGGTGGGCAACCTCGGCACTCAAGCCACCACACAAATTCCATCATGCCTTGGCCTCCGAGAATCATGCCTGTGGCTGTCTTGCACTGGCTCATGAGACGTGTAGACCCAAAACAGCTGAAGTGTCAAGGTTGCCTACCCCTGCCGTACATGATTCAATTTCGGGCCATTTGATCCTTGGGTTGCCCTACTGGCACCATCCAACTCAACAAAAGCCGAGCCAGGTGGAACCTTTTCAGCTATTTTATGGAAGCAATACAGGACAAGATCAGACAGGGGCAGAGATCAGACGTTTGTACATGACAGTTTTCAGCAAAGTATAAAGCCCATCTCTGGCCAAACCGCTCCCATCCACCCTACTGCCACCCATTTATACATTAAAAAAAAAAAAAAGCCCTCCAAACCCTTTTTTACTCACCTGGCCCACCATGAGTGAAGACTGGTGATCCACAGCGGCAGCCCAGAGGCACCGCCAACCAGCCTTGTTTCCGCTCCTCATCGCAACGACATCATGGCGCTGCTGGACTTTTCAGAACAATGTAAGGACCACGCCAATGGTCAACCAATGGGAAGTGTTCACATCCCCAGGAAGCGATGAAGGCACCCAAAGGAAGACTCCCTGCCAGCCCTCATCGCAAACATCATGCCGCTGCTGGACCTTTCAGAACAATGTAAGGACCACGCCAATGGTCAACCAATGGGAAGTGTTCACATCCCCGGGAAGCGATGAAGGCACCCAAAGGAAGACTCCCCCCTTCCCTCCGCAGGGCTTAAGAAAGAAATGGGACCTGTTGTGTCATGTGACCACGGATTTAGGTAAGCGAATGGGGTATTTAGTATAGTTTTTGCAATGTAATTGAGGGATCAGCTAAGGGGGGGGAGGG